ACCAGTTTTCGGGCTCCATTGTTGTCGTTGAAGATATTCAATTTTGTCGGTAGCTCAAAACCGAGATCGTCGATGAATCTTCGAAGATGCACAGCCTCCTTCACGGCATCTGACACTGCCATGTATTCGGCCTCCGTTGACGAAAGAGCAACGGTTCTCTGGTTCCTAGACTCCCAGGATATGGGGCATCCATTTAAAATAAATGCGTAACCCGTGTAGGATCGTCTATCGTCCAAGCAGTTGGCCCAATCCGCGTCAACGTAGCCTGTAAGATGCTCTTTGGATCTCTTGAAAGATAGCCCAATGTTCGATGTTCCCTTCAGGTAGCGTAGAACGCGCTTGGCGGCCTTCCAACGAGTTTCGTCGTAACAGTTGTTGAACTGGCTGAGATGATTTACTGCAAAAGCAATATCAGGTCTAATGCATACAGCTAAATGCATCAACATTCCAATCAGCTCCCGAAACGGAAATTTCTTGTCGTGTAAAACAGAATCGTTTTACTAATTTGCAGCTATAATCCAAAGGAGTGGTCACGGGTTTTGAGTCCTTCATTCCGAAACGGTTGAGGATGTCGTTTATATATCCACTTTGATTCCATCGTTATTCCATCTTCGTTTTGAGAGAATTCTATGCCAAGACAATATCTTATTTCGCCAAGATTCTTGATCTGAAAATTCCTTGAGAAATATTCAGTTAATTCAGCGATTTTTTATTGATCTCGTGATGCCACCAAAATATCGTCGACATATAAAGCGATAAGAAGAATGTTTTCGCCCTTATCTACGAAAAACACGCACAGATCGGCCGTAGATTGTTTAAGCCCAAAATTTTTGAATACTTGATTCAATTTTACGTGCCAGCGACGGCCTGCTTGACATAATCCGTAAAGGGCTTTATTTAACAAACAAACCTTATCTCCACTTCTCAACTCTTTGAGCATACTTGCTGCTTTATCGGCAATTTTCCCCTTCTTCTCGGAAGTAATAATTTCTTCTAAAATCTGCTCCGAAAATTTTGGGACTTCCATGAAGACTTGCTCTTCCAGTTTGCCATTCAAATATGCGGTTGTAACATCCAGCTGATGTATCTTCATGTTGCATTGTGCTGCCAGAGCTGTTACAATGCGAATCGAGTTGAGACGAGCCACTGGTGCGAATGTTTCGTCAAAGTCAACGCCGGGGTGCTGGGAAAAGCCACGCGCAACAATGCGCGCCTTTCTCCGCTCCAACGTTCCATCTTGATTAAGCTTATTCCTTAATACAATACGGCTGCCGATAACTTCGCGTTCTTCAGGACGCTCCACCAACGTTCACGTATCGTTTTTTATAATGGCCTTCATCTCCGTTGCTATTGTACGGAGCCATTCTTCCGCGTCAGGCCCTTTGATGGATTCATTGAATGACATTTCGGCGAGATATGCGAATTCTGCCTCTTCCATGGCGGCATTTGATTCTTTAAATAGTTTCTTGGGCCTCCCTCTAAGCCCTGTCATTACTTTACGGGGCCTTCCTCGTCCTCTCTTTGTTGCGATTTGTGGGACATCAATCGGATCCTCGTTTCGATCTTCGATTTGCTTCTGACTTTTCGGATTAAATTCAAGAAGATTATCATTAAGAATAGATTAAAAGCTGATTTTTTACGCAAATGCATTAATTTTAACATCATCCCGCGATACTTGTCTACGAAATTGACGAATCTTTCGCCTAATTTTACTAGTGTCAGATCTATTAACGCGTTCAAACTTTGTAAACTCGGTTTTATTAAGAAACTTCTGCAGATCGAACTTTCGGACACTCACTCGTATATTAGATCGGCTCACACTCATATTTTTAAGATTTCACAATCATTATATCACGACATTCCGATGTTCATCTGCAATTCATTTTTTACAAGACAACATAAGTCTTTATATTCCTTTTATACTAATCAACATGGAAAACTCAACAATAAATTTAATTGCCTACTATCTGAACATAATAGAGAAATAAGGGATTCTAGACCCGTTCGATATTTTTGCTGTTCTCCTTCACGGTCGACCACTGAACTTTCTTATCATATTTTTATTTTTTGATCTTTATTATTGTCACGCCATATGTTATTTATTCTTCTCTTCACCTTATTGTTCATGATTGATGTCATTACTCATCTCAATAACTAGTGAGTCGATCTCCTACATTTACACAATAGTTTTAATTACCTCTATTTTATATATTTGCACAACATGTGGAACGCCGTTTATAGTTGTAAGTTGCATCATTGTTTTCTAGTTTGTAATTTTGCGCGATTCTCTCACATCTGTTTCTTTCTTTCTTATTCGATTTACAGGTACATTACGTATAGATATGAGTTTTATAGGGGGCGCGATAGGCGTTGACTCTCGGAAATCGGCCGAAATGTGCAGATCGTGGCATGCACTGCTTTATAAGAAGTGCCTCTATTTGGATTTTCCATGTGTCAAAGTTCTTTTTGCTGAGCAGCTCGATTCTTACCGATGATGACGCCATGTTTTTTCTTTTCTTTTGAATATCACTCGCGATTTTTCTTTAATCCTTCAATAATAATTTGCCTGGGCCCATAACCTCTTAAATGAGCGAATGCCGTGGAGGTAGTGAGGGCAAGAAAGAAAGAATAACACAAGAACGTAATGATATAAAAAGCTTTAATAAAACGACCGATCGATACGATGCGAACGCGTCTCGACAGGAAGTGCTACGTATTACAGGACAATACGAAAAAGACGAAGGAAACAAGTGAAGTTAGAAAATGGGGGGAGGGGAACCGGCGTCGAGCCGAATAAGCGCGATGGTCCTCGAAAAATACGATTAGAGTCATCTCCTATCGCGACGGGAATCGCCGTAATAGATATTATTTTGAACAGGTATTAAATGAAGATTCGAATTTAATAGCAAACTGTTTTTTTTTAGAGGAAGGGAAAAATAAAATAACAAAAAGGTAGAAAATAACAAAAATATGATTTTTTGGTAGACTCACTACTTGTTGTGTGCGAAGGAATAGATGTCTATCCTCGATAACCGAGTGACGCACAACCTTCTGTTTGCCGTGGAAGACCTGGCTGGAAAAGTGGGCCCGGAGATCCGCTCGGTCACGGTGGTATTGATCGATGCACAAACACACACCACATGTCGTTTGTCCGCACGAATAATTCTTAGGTTATATAAGTATAACTCTTTGTACTGCACAACGCTCAGAAAACTATGAGGATAAACTAATCGAGTTCGGTATGTCGATACAACAGAGCGGTCTGAAGGCAGAAGGTTTAGAATCGAGAGGCGAAGATGAACTGAACTTTTCTGAGGGAGGATTTCGCGTACGTTGAATCTTGGCGTCTCTTTGCGTACCCTCTCCATTAGGCAAGCAATATTCTTTTTTAACGAATCAATCTCTAAAATTGTGCCCCTCTCATGAGTTGAGGGCGTCTCTCTTTGAAAAAAAGATCCAGTATTAAAGATCCAATATTTCCCAATTGGACACAGACCCAATCGGACACAGGCTCGATCGGACACAGTTCCGATCGGACACAGGCTCGATCGGAGACAGATCCGATTGGACACAGTTCCGATCGGACACATACTGTTGCAATCAGACACAGGCTCGATCGGACACAGACCCAATCGGACACAATTTCGGTCGGACACAGGCCCGATCGGACACAGGCCCGATCGGACACAGACCCGATCGGACACAGGCCCCATTGCGAAGCTAGGTCCATCCTACACTTGTTGTGTGGATGGGAAAATGTATGCGTGGACACAGTGGGTTCCGCCCCCCTACGGATCCCTTCTGATCGGCCAAGTTGACAGTTTTATTATTCACTTGAGTTTTATCTCAAGCAGATAACGTGCAAGGGTGGTCTAGCAGGCGAGCACGTGGTGTCAAGTGTCGCGAGTTTCAGTCGCGGATCATAATTACGTCAATAAGACATCGCTCTAATTCTTAGAAGGGCTTTTGTTAGAGGCTCCTCTTATACCGCGTTTTCACTAGCAGGCTTTCAAGGAAAAAATATTATTTGATCCGTTTGTTTGTCTCTTGCATGCCCACTGTTTAGATTTCGAGCCTTCTCATGGTTCGAGTATCTTTTAGTTACTGTTTAAAAATTGCTGGTCTTCCAGCGGACCTGGGTGTTCGAATATTTATCGCGCATGAGTTCTAAAATATTAGTCTCGCCTGCTAGATATTCTTTTAGTTTAAAGTTTATGTCAAGTGCAGAGTTCCAGAGCGTAGGCGTTTAATATTACGTGAAAGAAAAGAATCGTGGAGTCTACCGGACGTAACACTTCTAAATGCGCGTTTTTCAAATAATTTGATTGAAATATCTTCCATTTAAAAATTATTATAGTCTTAACACCAGACAGCACCAAGTTGTCTAAAAAATGATTAAAAGATAATATATTTTTTGTAAAGATGTGTTTTAGTGAGAGCGTATAATCGATGAAAAGATGACTAATAGACAACATATGTCCGACTAAAAGTCATCTTGTAGCCTTAACCTATAAGATATCTAAAAGACATCTAATTTTAGACATGTTTGAATCGTTCTAATTATATATGTTGTTCTTATTCAAGAATACTGATTTTATTTTCGATTAAATAATCAGGAAACTTTGTTTTGTGATAAATGACTTGGCAACGAATGTATGTATACGACAACTTTTATTGCATGTGACTGCTGCAATGGCTGTGCGGAGACTGACTCCTCTGCGTTCGTGCCGTTACATATGCATTAGCGCCGCTTTCCTTGGCGGCAATAGCAGCAATTACAAATCAAAAAATACATGTGCACCCAAATCAAAAACACACTTTTGTGCACCCGCCTTGACAAATATAACATATTTTCAAAATAAACAAGCAAATAAAAACCTTGAAGTAATAATGAGAGGAGACTCGTATGCGCTAACGAAACTTATAACCTAAACGAAAAAAACGCAATCTAAGCTAATAATCACAAACATTTTTATTTTCTAAACTTAATAATTAATCTATTAACGGACAAACATTGACAATAGATCTTTGTAAACTCCCATATTATTACGTACAGTAACCGTTCGCACTACTCCGTCGGAGCCCGGATGAACTTCAACAATTCGTGCAAGATTCCATTTTAACGGTATTGTGGCATTGTCTTTTAGCATGACTGATTGACCGACTTGCAATTTGGTATTGGTGTCCGATTTCCATTTGCTTCTTTGTTGACAAGACGACAGATATCCCTTCTGCCATCTGGCCCAGAAGTGCTGTTTTATTTGTTCCATATGTTGCCATCTTGATAGTTTGTTCAGCGGTATATCTTGTAGGTTTGATTCAGAATACGCCATCAGGTTTTCGCCAATCAAAAAATGTCCTGGGGTTAATGCTCTCAGATCTGCTGGATCGTCCAATATAGGGGTTAAAGGTCTGGAGTTTAATATAGCTTCTACTTGAGTTAATACCGTCGTCATTTCCGCTACGGTAAGACAGGCATTTCCCACAGTGCGCTTCAAATGTAGTTTCATGGAACGCACCAAAATGACTCCTGTAACCCACCAAAATATGGTGATCTTGCTGGTATAAAATGCCAGACAATACGCTTCACAGCTGTTGATTCTAGAACGCTTTCTTTAAATTCTTCATTATGAAGTAATGCCTGTAATTCTCTATCAGCTCCAACAAAATTTCTTCCATTGTCCGAATATAAGTTTTTTACTCTTCCTCTACGTGAGATAAATCTTTTTAAGGCAGCGATAAATGATTCTGTCGATAAGTCTTCGACCACTTCAATATGTACCGCCTTTGTAGCCATGCAAACAAATATAGCTACATACGATTTGTACTGCTTGCTATTTCGGCGCACTCTATCTCGTACATAGAAAGGGCCGCAGTAGTCCACTCCTGCATTCCAAAATGGTCGAGCCACGTTGACTCTCGCTGGTGGTAATTGGCCCATAATTTGATGGCTAGGCGTAGGGTGAGCTTTACGACACTTCACACAAATCCGTATTGTTTTCTTTACCTGACTTTTTGCGAATGTTTGAGTCCCTGCGTGAAAGAGCTTCTCATGATAGTATTTTATTATTAACAACGTGAAATGATGAGATGATGGAACTATGATGGGGTGTTTGCTCGTTCCTCGTACCGTCGCGTGTTTCAACCTTCCCCCTACTTTTAGTATTTCTTGTTGATCCAAGAAGGGATTGAGTGCAATTAGACTAGATTTTCGTAGAACTCTTCCGTCACTCTTTATCGACTTTATCTCGTCTTTGAATTCTTCGCTTTGTGCTATTTTAACTATCACTTTCATTGCATCATCTATCTCTGATGCAGATACGGGTCCTATTTTACGTTTTTTCGCGTCGCATTTCGTATTATAACTCTCAAGATGCTATTATGCGCAATAACTTATAAAGAGACGAGTATTTTCTACAGTCTATTATCGGCTCAACAATCACAGCTGCCGTTATCACCGTATGTTCCCGTTTTTCGGGCACATTTTCTATTTGTAACTCTTCACCTTCTATTGGCCATGTATTTTCATTCATTTTTAACCAATGAGGTCCTTCCCACCACAATGATGAGTGTTTTAAATGCTCGGGTGTAGTTCCTCTAGAAATCAAATCCGCGGGGTTTTTTTTTGAACTTACGTGTTGCTATTCAGAAGGTAAAGAGCTATTCTGTATTTCACTTACTCTATTAGCTACGAATACCTGCCATTTACGCGCTGGCGAATTTATCCACGCTAATACTATTTTAGAATCTGTCCAATAATATATTTGGTGTACCTGCACGTTCAAGCTGGTTAGTACGCGGTTCATCAAATTTATCAAAAGGGTGGCACCGCATAATTCCAACCATGGTAACGACAACGCTTTTAATGGTGCTACACGCGATTTTGAGCATATCAAAGAGACGGTTATATTCTTATGATCTTTTCCACGCAAAAATATACATGCTCCATATGTTTTTTCACTCGCATCACAAAACCCGTGGGCTTGTATTTGCAAATCAGGACTGTCAGATAATATTAATCTTGGTATTTCCATTGTATTTAACAGTTTTAATTGTGATTTTATTATAAGCCAAGCTTTATGAATATCCATCGGTACCGATTCATCCCATTGTACATTCTGTAAAAAAAGTACCCGGAATTTCTCATTTAAAAGTCCCGCGGTACATGTATTGAAAAAAAATGTTGTTGGTGAAATTAGCACCACTGCACCCAGTTGTCATGCTGAGTTTGAGCGCGATCTGTCATCCAGTTTGTTTACAGCAGCTGTTTATGTCAGTCGACCTCAAGTGTGTTCTCATCAAGCGATTTTTACAATAGAAAAAACTGTCGAGCAAAGAATTTGTCTTAAATTTTGTGTTACCAACAAAATTTCTTGTGCCAAAGCGTTGAAAATGTTAAGAAAAGCCTATGGTGAGTCGTGCATTTCGAAAACGCAAGCGTACGATTGGTATACGGCATTCAAAGAAGGCAGAGAAGTTGTTCATGATTTGCCTCGTTCCGGCCAACCTTCAACGGCTTCGACTGATGAAAACATCGAAAAAAATCAAGAAAATAGTCATCGAAAATCGTCGCCTGAGTGTTAGAGAGATGGCTCATGAACTGCAAATGTCTCACATGTCCGTGCATAACATTTTGACTGAAGTTTTGGGAGATGTGTCGCTGCACGACTTGTTCCGAGAGAGCTGAATTTTTTGCAACAAACCCATCGAAAAATGGTTGCTGAAGACATGGTTTCGCGAGCTTCTAGTGACTGTACCTTTATGAAACGCATCATAACTGATGATGAGACATGGGTTTATGAGTACGACATGCAAACAAGTCAACAATCATCGGAATGGCGCTTCGAATTGAGTCGATAGAAGCCATAAAAAAGAATTCGCAGAAGGAGCTGAAGGCAATACCTTCTTCAGCGTTTGAAAAGTGTTTTAAAGATTGGGTTAAGCGTTGGCATATGTGTATTGCCTCGGATGGGGCCTATTTTGAAGGCGACAAAATAAATTTTGATGATTGAATAAGTAGATTGTATTTTATTTAAAAATTCCGGGTACTTTTTTTACAGAATGTATCTTTTGGGCCCACAAATTTTGTATTTAATATTTTTGCTAGAGTTACTACAGGTCCCACTAATCCTAGTGGATCAAATAATTTACAAACTTGAGATAGCATAGCCCTCTTTGTTACACGACCATCGTCCCAGCTCATGGTAGTTTCATAATGAAATGTATCTTTGTACGGATTCCATAATATTCCTAATAACTTAGATTGCGGTTCTTTATCAATATCTATCGATATGTTAGGCATTTGTATATTATCGGAAATATTCAGCACATTGGTAATCCATTTATGTAGCTCGAAGCCCCCTTTTAATAATAATTCTGTTATCTTCTTTTTTAATTGAGTCAACTCACGTACTGTATTTGCGCCTGTGAGGAGGTCATCCATATAAAAATCTCTACGTATTACCTCTGCGGCCACCGGAAAGTTTGCTTCTTCCATCTCAGCTAATTGCTGTAAACATCTGACGGCTAAAAATGATGCTTGTTTTGTACCGTATGTTACCGTGACCAATTCAAATGCTTCTACCTCATCACTAAGATCTTCACGCCAAAGAATTGTCTGTAGAGAAGTTTGACTTTCGTATATTAAGATTTGTCTATACATTTTTTTTATGTCCGCACATAGTACATATTTGAAACATCTAAATCTTATGATTATTGAAAAGAGTTCTGCTTGCAATACCGGTCCCTTATATAATGCGTCATTTACAGATTTCCTCTTTGAATCTTTACTGGAGGCATCGAACACTACTCTAGTTTTTGTAGTAGCACTACTCTCTTTTATCACAACCTAATGAGATATAAAAACTCGTATTTTATCATCAAGAGCTTTTGATGCTTGTTTCATATGTCCTAATGCCAAATATTCTCTCATAAATTTAACGTATTCGATTTTAAGATTTGGTTTATTCATGAATTTCCTTTCTAACGCGTATAATCTTTTTTGGGCCATTTTTTTAGAATCACCTAATGATTTCAATACTTCTTCCTTAATGGGTAGTCGGACAATAAATCTACCATCAGATTGACGACTATAATTTTTCTTAAAAAATGCTTCATAGTATTAATTTTCGTCAGACGTACTCTTTACGCTTGTGTAATTTTCGATCTCCCAAAACTTGTGAATCGCTTCATTCAAATCCTCTCTGAGGCTTAAATTACAACTTGTCTGTATTTTTTCACGTGCAAATATACCGATTGTACCTGATACAAGCCATCCTAGTGATGACTTCTGCAATACCGGTTGGTTATTTCCTAGCTTTATTCGGCCTACACAAATTAATTCCCAAAACCTCTCTGCTCCAATGAGTAGATCTATTTCACCAATTAGATTGAATTACGGGTTCGCTAACTTAATATTTTTTGATATGTTACAACTAGATTTGTCAAATTCAAACGTCGGTATATTTTGTGTAATTTCTGGAATTACTATGCATTGTAAATCTATTTTAACCGTGTCAAAATGTGAAGTTAAGTTTAAATTCACTAATTTCATTGCATGATATATTTGTTGATTAATTCCTTTGATTTGTATCTGGTTATTTATCGATTTTAAATCTAGTTTTCCGGCAAATTCCTTCGTGATAAAATTCGACTGTGAACCATTGTCTAACAATGCTCTTCCCGTAATGTATTGACCTTCGCGATTTTTTACCTTAACGACCGCGGTGGACAATAACACTTGTTTTGCATTCGGTATTTTAATCAACTGAGCATAATTGCATGCAGTGTTATCAGGCTTATTTGTTTCATTGCCTTGAATAGTGGCTGGGGTTTCCTGTTCCGATTTATGCTTTTTTTTGAACATTTCGATCATCGTGTAACAACGTGCTATGCCTTCTCTCACATAGTTTAAAAATACTAGCTTGACAGTCCTTTGCAAGATGTTTACCTTCCAAACAATTTAAACATAGACCCAATCATTTAATTCGACTGGAGCGTTCGTTTACAGATAAACTTAAGAAACTTTTGCGTTGATAAATTTGATGATTCCCCTTACAGTTTATACATCTAGTATTAGTTATCTGTTATAGCCCAAAACGGCTATAATCAAATTAGTATAATTATTAATTATTAAATATTATTTAACGTCTTCCGACTATAACTCGAAGTCGAGGAAGACATATAAAGTTATGAGCGCAATCGCTGACAAAGCGAGCCACGCGCGGAGGTCACGCGATCGCGAGACTTAAAGAACGACGCGCGGGAAATGCAAGCAAAGAATATACGTAGCTTGCATCCGGGTTTTTTCCACTAACAAAATCTCTGTACCTCCACGGAGGCACAACAAAACTGGTGGCAGCGGTGGGATGTGCCAAAGGATCGCCAGCCAACTCGCCGAATAAAGACCTGTAAAAAACCAATAGAGTGAATAACAGGCACGTCAGCAAACAAGTAAAGCCGACGGACACAAGCAGAAGCAACATATACGGACGGCACAAGCAGTACGAGAATCACGACCAAGCAGCTGAAACTCGAGTAGGAACGCCAGCGTCCAAGGACCAACGCCGACCTATGACATCTCTAAGGGCGACGCATCGCCGCCGGGCAACGACCGCCGTACGACGAGCATCAGGCCGCCAGCCTTATCAGCCGCCGAGCGAGACATTGCAGCATCAGCAACCTACTGACCCAGTGAGAGAACATGCGAGCCGTCTTATTACTGTAAGTCCGTAATATATTTGTAATTGCGTGAATGTCGGAAGGTTCTAACGTATCGAAACCGATAGCGAACCGATCGTGGTTATTAAGCGAACCATCGCGACGAGCGACTAGCTTAAGTCTAACACCGCAAAAAAATTTTAATAACGCGCGAAGAAATTTAGAAACTCAATACTTGAGCGAAAGCAAGCCCGAGTCACAGGAGAACGTCGTCAAGGAACGCGAATTTCCGTTCAATAGTTTCGACGAAAGCCTATTTCCGTGTGATACGACTGACCTCACTGACCACATTCAACGCGAGACTAGACGTACGCGACCGTATATTAGCAGTTTGAACGAACCGAAAACTGATACAAATAAAATAAAAAATGATAACCAGAAAAAACGCGAAGAAAATACACGTGACCGAAAGAATCTGCGGCAACAAACGCGAGATTCCGAGTCCGATGGTAACAACAGCAAAGACGATAAAAGCGAATCAAAAAGGAAACAACCGCAACCTGCGTCCGAATATCGCGTTACGCACAGTGATGCCAGAATTGCCACGCTAGCAACACGCAACCGTAGT